ATAAATGACAAATGAAAGCACTGAAAATGACCATAATTAATATTTAAATTTTCAGAATAAGCAAAGCTGTGATTTTGGCTTCACTATAAAACATTTAATTACACATTTTTTTGGAAATTGTTAGTCCCGCCCGGCGGGACAGCGGGACCGCTAGCTACGCCACTGATGAACTGTGCCATTTAATGTTCATGAGAAAATTCATGAAAAGTTCATGAATATAGCTCATGATTTGCTCTTCAAAAATGCATGAACATTAGTTCATGAACTGTTCATGAACAAAAATGTTCATGAACTTATTCACGAACTGTTACTTTCATGAACTGTGCCATTTAATGTTCATGCACATTCATGAACATGTACAGTTCATGTACTTTTGATGGAAGTTCATGAACAAAATTCATGAATTTTTCATGAATAATTCATCAAATTTTCGCCGGGGAAGAATTTATCACATCATGTCTAATAATATTATATATCTGAGGGGGAGGGGCATATACTTTTAAATATTTGAGTGCGGGGGAAGTTCATTATTATGAGCATCATAAAGGGGGGACCCATGATATCCATATGATAAAAGGATCTCCCACCCTAAGGTATAAAGAATGAATGGTCCCTAACCTATATATAGCATGAAATTTAAGATTAACTAAGATTACTAGCAACAAAAGGTGGTAATATGCAGGGGCGTCGTTAGCCCTGTTTTAATGAAGGGGTGTAAGTGCAATTTTGCCGACTCATCTCAAACACTAATTAATATTTCTTTTCGCAAATATGTTGGCGAGCCGGGGTAGGAGGGGTTTACAAAAAAAAACATTTTACAGCCATTATTTTTTTCTTTTCCTTTCTCATTAACCAACCGTCATTCGGTAATCTTTCCTTTATTTTTTCGTAAATTTTCCAATTTTTTTGCTATAAATATTAGCTTTTAATTAATCAGTGTAACTCATATAATTTAATTTTTTCCTTCCTATCCAGTTCCATTTTTGCCAACTACAAAAACAATTTCCTGACTGCGACTCAATAATTTGCAGAATGTATGGCGATTGGGGGTGTTTTCCCTCCCCCACACCCCCTCTAGAGACGCC